GTAGATTGGAACTAAATCGATCGATCATTCAAGGCACTGCTTGTTTTTGGATGGGCATCTTCCACTTGTCGGGCATTGTCCGAACAAAAATCATTCAACTGTGTAGGAGGTACTTATGGGGCTCCAAAAAATCCCCTGTTGCATGGGATACTTTGTGTTTACCTCGAGCGGAGGGAGGATTGGGGCTCCGTAACTTGGATGCTTGGAACCGAACCCTTCTCATGAGGACTCTTTGGAATATGCAAGCTAAGAAGGATACACTTTGGTTCAAATGGATCCACAACATCTATTTGAAGGAAAAAACTATTTGGGATTGGCAAGTTCCAAGAATGACTCCCCTCTCTTTAAATCCCTATTTGAAATCCGGCAAACCTTGATTGAAAAGGCCGATAGCGAGCGCGGTGCAGAAGCCTTCCTCCGTGCGTGGAGTTTACACGACAAGCAAGACGATACTAGCAAGTGTTACGATTTTCTCGGACCAAAGGGTATTGAGAAGCCATGGGCCGGGGTTGTTTAGGGGAGTTGCAATACCCCCAAGCACTCCTACATTTTATGGCTTGGTGTGATGAATAGGCTCCAAACAAAAGATCGTCTGGAGTTCCAAAATGAAGACCCGACATGCCCCCTTTGTGGTACCGCGAACGAATCCTCGAGCCACCTCTTCTTCGAGTGCCCCTTTAGCTCGGAGATATGGAGTGCAATTCGAGTTTGGGTTAGCCTCCGTCACATGCCAACCACTCTAAAAGGTGCCCTCAAATGGACCGAAAAAGAAGGGAAAGGTACGACCTGGAGAGCCAAACTGAAGAAAGCGGCGATTGCGGTCACCGTCTACTTCATTTGGAATGCGCGAAACCGATTGATTTTTAGGGCAAAATCTAACCTCCAAGCCTTGTGATTAGAAAGGTAAAGACCCACGTCTACCGATCTATTTTTGCTCTTTTTCCGAGTGTTCTTGCCGAATTTGAGAGAAGAAGCTAGGCGTTGAAGTATAAAATTTTGATAATTTTTTGGGATGGTTGATGTCAAGTGTTTGAGCACTTGAAAGATCTTGGTTGGAGGAGAACATTGTCCTCGTTATTTTTGTTCTTGCGAGTCAAGAACCGACTTGTGGTTACCCACTACGCTCTTGAAAGTCGCCTCGGTTGTATGAATTTCAATTCTGATCAATACAAATTTATTTAACGATAAAAACAAAAATGAAAAATTGAATTTAAAATTAGAGTTGTTATTTGAAGTTTGATTGTGAAACCTCGAAGACAACTTATTCGTTCACTTACGCAACTTGAGCTCGAACTCAAACAATTAATCGAGTTTATATATTAAATAAGTCGAACTCGTTTGCAAACAAGTTATTTAGTTTTTATTTATATTTAAATGTTTTCAATAACAGTCGAGCAGAATATGGTTGCAACCACATAAGTGATTCATCACACAATACACATACACAACTTCGAGTTCATTAAACGAATTGACTCGAACTTTCACGAGTTTAAATGAGTTAAGATTAAACCGATCATTTGATTCATTTAATAACGAACCGAATCGAATCAACTCTTTTATTAAACGGACTCTAACATAAAATGTGCGTCTCGACTCGTATAGCATCCCTACACCAACCCATCATATTTTAGAGAGGTGTAGATCAAAACAAACTTATAAAAATTATAAATAGAAACACAACCATCAATATGAGTTGCAAATTTAGCTAGTCTTAAAATTTTCAATTAACACATGGTGACTTTTTTATTTTTTGAAAAATAAAAAATAAAAAATTATCAAATTAAGTTAAATTAATCAGAACACGTGCACACTGGTGGTCGCCCATACTAGATCCTACTAGAGACTTAGGGCATCGTAGTTATGAAGTCCACATGTACTCTGCACAATCTCCACCAAATGGATAAGCATCACATCCAAACTCATAAAAATAAATTTTATATTTATGACTACCAACATAATTGCAACCATCAAATTGGCACAATTATATCTTTATTGTAAACCAATATTGCCAGCCCTTTTAAATTGAACCCATATTTCATAACTATCAGACCATAATAAATCGATATTAAATTAAAATGTCACTTGAAACAACAATACAAAACAAAAGTATAATGGCGTTTCATACTATAAATAAATGGTAAATAATAAATATATCGCTAGTGAATTCGACTCGTTTGATTAAAGCTCATTGATTAAATGAGTCGAGCTCAACTCGATAAGGTTTAAAAAGAGAGATTTTTATTTAATTTTCTATTAATTTGACTTTGTCAATATTGACAATTGAGCGAGCTCAAGCTCGATTACTGACTTATTTAGCTAACTAAGTCGAGCTCGGTACAGGACTCAAGCTCTCAGATTCAGCTTTGCTTGTTTATACTCTATCAGTAAGTGGACATTTTTGTTAAAATATATTATTACGAGTCAACCTATAAAACAAAGTAACATGAATTTTCTGACTCCTTTTTCTTTTGTTTATTATTATAAAGTAAATCAGTCAATTAATTTATGCTAAATTGATGGATCCCAAAAATTAACATTACTACATTAATTTTGTGCTCCAACATCACCAATGGATCATATATGAAATCGAGTTTGAGATCGACTCGTTAAGGTCTCGAACTCGAGCTTTAACTCAAGCCGAGCCCAGCCGAATCAGACTCGTTTAATTTAACATCACTATGAACGTGCTATCTACACAACTTCCAATTTTGCTTGAATAACTCAAATGTACGATAAGTAAATAAACAAACATTTGTCCCTCCATTTTTATGCTTATAATTTGTTTCTTCAATTCCAAGTTGCGAGTTTAGGTCAAATTTTTATGCTTATTTGTTCCTTCAATTCCAAGTTGCAAGCTTAGGTAAGAGTTTGAGGAAAATTTTAAAAAGGGTCCTATACTCCTATTTATAAGTCTACCTATTGTAAACTCCTGTCAAATCAATCAATATTAGTACCATGTATATAATTTTTAAAAACTTTTCCATTTGAGAACAATTTTTTAGCACCATAATTTTTCACATGAACTAATTATGAATTTGAGAACAATTTTTGCCAACAAATAATTGAACGCGATGTGTTAAATATCGATCGAAATTTAAATTTTCCACCAAAATTGTACTGTTTTCAAATTAATTGATCAAATTTTTATCCAAATTTATTATTTTGTAAAGAATTAATAAAAAATTGGTCCATTTTAAAAATTATGAGACAATTATTAATTAATTGGATCCAATGCTAACTAGTTTTTATCCAAATATATAGGTCATCACTAAAGTACATATATGATATATGTAGTTAAAAAAATGGATAAAGAGTAATAATAAAACAAATGATAGATGCATGAAAGCACATGCCTAAGTAATTAGCTAGAATTGTTTACCATACAACAACTTGCATCTTTCCAAACCATAGCAACTTATTATATTTTTGTAACTTCTTATATTTTTGTAGTTATGCCTTTTATGTCAACCATTAACTAAATAAATGTTGTTTAGGGTCTTTTGTACATGTTTTTTCCATTATTACCTTCATTGAGTCAATAAATACACTGCGTCTTTTCATATTCACTCTTCATTTTTTCTTAAAACATTATCTCTATCTTTATTAAATAGGGTTATTATTGACAACAAAAATATTCTTAATTATTGTGGAACTTCTCAAAACGACATTTATTTTGAATAGGAGGGAGTATTTCGTATACTATGTACGATTTTTGGTATTTTGGGACTAAGCTAGGTAGATGTGGATTTTTTTTCATCTTTTAGAGCATATAGATCTAAATTCTTCATGCATAGAAGACTTTTAGAATTATATAATTCTAGGTTAATTTAAAAATTCTATATGTTTTATCACTGAAATATATAATATATCAAATTAATTATTTCTTGTGTTCGATATGAAATTTATATTTCAAATATGAATTTATATATTTGTTATATTATACGAGTTAGGAAATTGTAATGGTGTAGGACGAACGGATATCATCGTCTTTCATTTAAAATACTATTTCAATTTTTTATAAAGTACTTTCTTCTAACACTTTTAATACAAACTTTTAAGTGTAAGTTTAGCTATATAACACACAAGTGTAATAAGTGATGTTATACGACATGTTAATTTATTTTAATTCGTATATTTTCCTTAAATTAAGTATTAAAATCCCACATATATTGTAAATGGAGTTGTAAATGAACCGATTGTTCACAAACAAAAGTTTGTTCGAGCTCATTTATGTTTTAAAAAAGCTTGTTCATATGTAAACAGAGTTGAGCTTGATGAAAAATTAGGCGCGCTTGTTAATAGAATGAACACGACCCGACATGCGAATGTTCGATTATTTCTGAAAATTAAATCGATAAATATATTTTTTATTTTTATATTTATGTTTAATATTTTTTAGTGAAAAAATTCTAAAGCATGAATTTTGTAACTAAAAAAATATTTTCGAGCCCGAACGATTTCGAATGAACCTGTCTCAAGTTAATCAAGCAATTTCAATAAGCTTGTTTCATGAAGCTCGAATTTCAACGAACAAACGGAAACACTAATTTATAATCAAATAATAAAAAAAGATGAGTACAAACAATATTCTAATTAACATAATTGAACACGAATTGATTGGTAAAGATATGATTTAATTTAAAAATGTCGTATTATTTAATAAATCAAGTAAAATAGTTAAATATAAATAAAATATCGTGCAATCATACTCAATCAACATTCTCACACAAATTGATTGATGCAAGACGAAAAGGCAATAGGACCACATGGAGATGTTTCTTTATAATTGCAATAAAATATCGTATGAATATTAGTAACAAAGGTGAAAAATAATTTCTATATACTAATTAGTAATTATCCACCAAAAAATTGATTTTTATGCTTGAAAGTTTATCGAAAAATTTACAATAACTCAGGCCAGATTTCACTTTCCTTTTTTATGCAATTGCATATATCCAATCATTTAATGTGGATTTTTTTTTTTAAAAAAAAAGACCGACTCAAACAGGCGAGTCGACACGGAGCGAATCACGGCAAAGCGGGCAACTCGACTGAGCCGTGAGCCACCGGTCCACGCACTCGGAGTGGAAGCAATGGCCGCATCCCGGCAGCACCTTCACCTTCTCGCCGTCCCCGAACACCCCGAGGCATATGCAGCACTCGACGGAGCCGGCGCCGGAGCCGGAGTCCGAGCCGCCGCGGTACAGAACTATCGGGAGGCTGCTGATGCTGGCGGCGTCGAGGCCCTTCGACGGCGCGTGGGATGTAAGAGAGGAGTGGGCTGGCGTCGCCGGCGGCGGCGGTAGCGGCGGGAAGCGGCAGACCCAGCGGGCGTAGAGGAAGAGGAGGGCGACGAGGAGGATGACGGAGAAGAGGGCGACAACGAAGAAGAGCGTGCGGCCACGGATTTGGAAGTTGCTGTCGTCGAACTCGGCGTAGTGCCACCGGAAAGGCTGCGAGGAGGAAGCGGCGGCGGAGGGGTCTTGATTGTGGTACGACATGTGTTGGAACGACGGCGTCGTTTTGGAGAGGTTGATGATGTTTTCCTTCTTGTTGTTTGATTTTCAAGAACGGCAGCGGCGGAGACGGCGGCGGAGCCGTAGTTGGGGGGAGAATTGGCTGGGAGTGTTTGGATATGAAGTTTGGGAAAGAGATAAAAGTTGTTTGGACAGAGTTTCATTCACAGCTGAGTTGCGCTATTATAAGTAGCTGTGTGGGCAGTTTGTACACTGCCAAGTTGGGTAAAAATTGGGAAGGGTATTTTTGGGCTTGTAAATGGTAGAAATTAAACTAATATATAGAAAAATAAGAGAAATGCTACATTCTCGTTACATAATCATTCAGAGCATCTTCAATGCTCTAATGTTGTTATAGAAATTTTTTTGACAAATGCATGTCAAAAAATTAAATATATTGTAAACTATGTAGGACAAATATTGAGTTCACACTTATTAAATTATAAATTCGTCTCAAATGCACAATGTTGCCTAATTACAATATTATCTACTTGTTAAATAATAAAATTTTAATATGATTTAATAAGATTAATTAAATAATTAAATAGTTTGAGAATGGTAATAATAATTTTCTCTATTCTTCTCCTTGGCTATCTAGAGTGTCGAGCAGAATGTGGATGAACCACAATCTTCTCTACATTGTAGACATTAATTATGTCAACGTCATCACAACATTTGTGATCACATTATATATTGGAGGATGAAAAATTGTGATATTAATAAATTGATGTGGAAGGTAATTTACCACTACAACATTGAGCATTGAAGATGCTCTCAGTTGGGGGTTGTAACCGTTAGATCAACTATCCATGACGGTTACATGATGATCGAACGGTTACGAACTCCGACAGAATAGTTATGTAACAAGACTATAGCATCTCCCAAAAAAATATTGATATTTTGGCTCAGTTGAATATCATAATACGGAATCAGCTGTCTCATTTTATTCAGTGAGTCGAGATTTATTTCATCAAAACATGAATTGAAAACAAAATAATAATAATAATAATAATAATAATAATAATAATAATAATAATAATAATAATAATAATAATCTTCGCAACTTTTTTTTTCTTAATCATTCCACTAAGACAGCAAATAAATAGAAATCAAATAATAGTATTATCTTTTCAATAAGAAATACCAAGTTACATAATTTTAGTTATCAGTTAGTTACCAACAATTAAAATTATATCATTTTTAAATTATATTAATTTTAACTATTATAATTTTATATTATATCCGCTTACAATCTTAAATCTAACTCAATGTTTCTACAAACAACTTTTCCACATTTACTTTTTACAAAAATCTTTATATTCACTTGCATGCCATTTTTTCGTAGGATATATAATTAATCCAGATAAAAAAAAATAAAATAAAAAAAATTGGCATTTACATTAAATAAAATAATTATGTTTGCCTAACTTAACAGCTAAGTTCTGAAGAGGCTAGTCACTAGTGCCTTTTCTAGTTTTTTAATCAAACTACTACATCTCACATCAAATTGATTATTCTAGATTTCACGATTAAGTAATAATAAAGTAGTGACGCAAACTTGTAAATTACAGGCACACTTTATTTTTGATATTACATGTAGTAATAATATTTAACTTATAAAAATAAGGGCCAAGCCAAGCTTCTATTTTCGGGTTTTCTATGTACTCGTTTAATTATTTTGTTATTAATATTTAACTTATACAAAATTAGTACCCAACTTTTTTTTTTGGTTCGGTCTTTATGTACTTGGGAAATGCTACGGTTCCATTACGCTACTATTCTGTCCAGTTTGTAACCGTCAAGTATAGTGAATCTAACGGTTACAAATCTCGACTAAATGATTCCATAACAAGACAGTAACATTTCCCTATGTACTTATCTAGTTGTGTTATAAAGTACAATTATATGTAAAAACTTTAAGAAATATATATGCCACAATATCTCTAATTTCTCAATTTATTTAATTCATCGTTCATATATTTTCTTTTATTTTTTATTTTTTTAAATCAAAAATTTGATTATCATAATTCTTGACCTACAATCGTATATATAGCTGTGGTTGCTTATCAAGGTGTATTATCTATCATTGTAAAGCTACTTTAATTTCACCTTGAAACTTCTTATCATTATCCACTTTTTCCCTTACCTTTACCATTTTATCTTTTTAAGTACTCAAAAATTGAAATGGCATCCAACGCGCAACCTATTGGACATATTTTGGTACCAACTATTCCCCACGTGATCAATAATTCGGTAAAAAATCTTATCGAAACCCAAAATAAAATAATAATAATAATAATAAAAATAATAATAATAAATAAATAAATAAATAAAAAATAAATAAATGAACAACACCGTCAGAAAAATTGGACCAAAACATTTTTTACACTAAGCCCCTGTTTGTTTTGTATGATTAGGCAGGATATCCCGCCTAATCTTAGCCTAATCCTACATTTGGTTCACTGTATTAAGGTCCACGGGATTGAATCGGTCCGAGATAAAAAAAAATGAATTATCCCATGAATTCAGGATAATCGAACAAAACTGAAAATCAAAATTGTGAAAAATTATAACTGTACGGCGCTGTGAATGTGGGAAAATCTAAACCAAAATGATCTTAACCAAAAAAATTTACATAAAAGAAAAAAGCGAATTAAACAAAATCAAGTTGCACCACGATTTGGTTCGATTTTTTGATTTCGACATGATTTTGCTCATTCCTACTTAGACATGGTCACGATTCAGACCGCACCGCCGAGCAAGCCTGGTCAAGCCCATTGACAGCGACACTTGAGTTTTACTTAAATTTATTTTTTGTGAACGGTCAATTCCGGTTTGAACTGGAGTCCCGGCAAAACTAGTTGATTTATTTTTCTTTATTTTGTTTCAAATTTTATTTTAATATTTTTTGTTTCCGATTACGGGCCGAGCCCAAAATCGGAACGCAAAAGATTAAATCTAGATCGTTAGATTTTTTTAAAAGAACCATGTTGGACTTTGTCTACCTCTACCCTCATTTGAATGGCCCAAAATCGGAACGCAAAACTTCAATATTTTCGTTTTAAATTTATATCATTTTTTCTAAATAATAAATATATCCAAATTTAATTTGATGCTTAATTTTCAGATATATGTGTGACTCGAGATATATGGCATGTAAAGCCAAAAAGAAAAAGTATATCTTCCTGGATAGATATTTTTTGTATGGAAATTAGGAGCCAATCAATTCCTAGGTAGATATTTTTTTTAATGAAATGAAAAAATATAAAAATTGAAATATCTTCTGATCGAAAGGACTTGGGATATATGAATTTACTTTTAAGAATAAATTGATCAGAAGATGTGATATTAGCCAGATTTCATATGGTTAATCGAAAGACAAAAATACATTTATAGTCGTGTTGGTTTTAATGTCATAATAATTTTAATATTTATAACTTTTCGTCTTTTGGTTTAAATTTATTAAATTTAAATTGCTAATAAAATCTATAAATTTGGACAATTTATGGAGTTGCACCAAAATATTAATGCATAACAAAAAGACAAATATTAGAATGTTGAAACTAAAATTGCTATATCGTTAAAGCAGCATGACAAAAGACGCAATTTGCATTAATCGAAATAACCGAATGAGCCATTTACCAAAACCGAACCAATTGGATTTTCCCTAAAAAGTGAATG